AGGCCAGTACCATTGTCCAGTCAACGGATCTCGTTAATAGATGTTGTGAAGCCTCGGCTAATACCAAGTCTAGATGTTTCTTCTGTGGAGGATCTTGTCATAATAGAAACGCATATGCTGCAAAAATGCTACTTGTTTCAAATTTAAATAGAAGGACATTTCTCAAAAATGTTTCGTTCGAACCGAAAAATAACACATCTGCTACAACATGCTCTTACAGACTTGCGACAATGTTGATGAGATTGTAGAGGAGCGTGTGGGTTTGTGTGTTGTCGATTGTAGAGGACCGTGTTGAATTTGCCTGCTGTTTATTCCTGCTAGAAGAAGGTCCAACTACAAGAACATGGCGGACTCAAGTTGAGTCCAACCGAAGAGGTAAAGAAAACAAACAAAACCGATATCTATATGTCCACAAATATATGTATTAAACAACAAATTTAGAAGTGTCAAAGACATCAACATTTGTGTTTTTGTGTGAATGTAAAGAGTTTGTATTTTGGTGAATGTTCGTACGTACGTGTATGTGTGTATAATGTTCATGGCGTCCCCCCACAAATGGGAAGACACTATCTACTGCGAGAGCTTACATTGTAGATGTGTTCACTGAAATGAAGAAATAAAAAAAAGAACGAGTCAAGAAATTGCTCAATATTTATAATGTAGAAAGAGCGACCCCTAGTGAACAATTAGGGAATTAAGGAGGAGCTAACTCCGACATGATCAAATACTACATCCGCTTCCTTAGGATCCCTAAAACAGGCTGCATTATAACGTGTTAGTCGGAAAATATGGCGCCGGTACGGCCCTAATGGATACGGGGAGCTCAGGATCCTTTATCTCTCACGGTTATGTGAGGAAATACAGACTAGAGATGAAACCTGCAACTGGTAATGTATCCATGGCATCATCATCACTTAATGCATCTATCAAAGGACAGTCTACAGTGGACTTAAACCTACTAGGTGAGTGGTATTCAAATTTAAAACTTTCAGTCCTACCCAACCTCTGTTCAGATATTATTCTTGGCTAAGATTTTATATCACAAAATTCCACCATATCTTTAGCATTTGGTGGCTCTAAGAAAGATTTCGTAATCTCTCATTCTATCTCATTAAGCGTGTCGTCTGAGTTAGTGTACACGCCATCTTTATTCTCCAACATTGATCCAGACTGTAAACCAATTACAACTAAATCTAAAAGAATTGTAGAAGGTGACAGACGTTTCATACAGACTGAGTTTGAGAAAATGATCCAGGATGATGTAATTGAGGAAAGTACATCCCCTTGGAGGGCCCAAGTTTTAATAGTAACGAATGAGCGTCAAAGAAAAAGACTTGTAGTCAATTACAGTAGGACAATTAATAGATTTACCAGATTAGATGATTATCCATTACCAAGAATGGATGATCTGGCTCAAGAAATAGCAAAATATAAAATTTACAGCTCATTGGATCTGAAGAGTGCATATCACCAGATACCAATAAAAAAAAGAAGATATGCCCTACACGGAATTCGAAGTTAATGGTAAACGTTACCAATTTTGTAGAATTCCTTTTGGAGTGACTAGCGGTATCGCATGTTTCCAAAGGATAATGGATAAGATTATTAAGGAAAATATTTTAACGGGTGTGTATGCCTATGTAGACAACATTGTCGTAGTTTGGAAAAATCAGCAAAAACATGACGAGAATTTGGAAAAATTTAAAAAAGATTGCTACACGGTATAACCTCACTCTCAACGAAGATAAATCTGTTTTCTCTAAAACATCTATTGATTTTCTCGGCTACAGCATATCACATGGCCTACTTAGACCTGATACAGAACATCTACGACCATTAAGAGAACTACTTGTTCCTCAGAACGAAACCTCATTGCGCCGAGTGCTTGGATTATTCTCTTACTACTCTCAGTGGATACCCAAGTTCTCTGACAAAATTAGATCCTTAATAACAGCTGATTCATTCCCTCTTGATTCAGAAACGGTAAAAACATTTGAAAACTTTAAGGAAGAAATTGAAAAGGCTTTACTATACTCGGTCGATGAAAACATTCCTCTCGTAGTAGAAACGAATGCCTCTGATACTGCTATTGCGGCCACTCTGAATCAAGCAAACCGTCCAGTGGCATTCTTTTCACGTACACTAACGACTACAGAACAAAAACATTCTTCTGTAGAAAAGGAGGCTTGTGAAATAGTTGAATCTGTCAAAATCTGGTCACATTTTGTGATAGTCAGATACAGACCTAGATAGATAGACGGAAGCCTAGATAGTCAGTTACATACAGAGATAGATAGGTACAGACAAAGATGGATGGATCGATAGATACTAAGATACAGACTTAGATAGATAGATAGATAGATAGATAGATAGATAGATAGATAGATAGATAGAGAGACTTAGATACACATTTGGATGAATAGATAGATAGAGACAGATAAATTGATAGATTATAGACTTAGATTGACAGAGTATAGACTTAGATAAAGTATAGTCAGATGAAGTACAGATATAGATAGATATACAGATTTAGATAAAGTATAGACTTAGATAAGGCACATAGGTAGGTACAGACTGAGACAGATATATAGATACATAATGAATATATTGATAAATTAACTTCTTTTTTTTATTTTTTTCTTTCTGGTGGTTTCCTCCTGAATTGTTTTGACTTGTTATTTTGTGGTTTCATTGATTATAAAAACATAGATATTTTTGATGCCCACGTGATATAACCATATACAGACATTCCTCCATTCTGCTGTTGCAATTAATCTCCACCGTAAGGAATGCAAAGAGACTCGGTATACGGTGAAGTGTTCGTCTTCAACTGTCAGAATGCTTTGTCTACAGTACCACAACAAGGTAATTGTCGACATTTCTGTTAATATTTTCAGGATTTACCATTTGCTTTGCATTCAAAATGGCTGCCTCATATTAATAACATCCTAACGAAGTTCTGCAGACAAGATTTTAGGAACCCACCCTCAACACTTCACGTTATCTCATTTCTTTATAATTGTTATACGACGAGGAACACTTAATAAAATTAGAAAATACTAACTAATGAACCTGTTAACGACGACGAAAGGGTTAACACTTTGGCCACAGTTAGTTACAATAACAGTAAAATGATTCCTTATTATTGATGTCGTTAATAGCAGTTTCTCCCATTGTTGAGTTACGCAAAATTAATTAACTTTTTGTTAATGACAATGGTGAGATTTACATACGAGTGGCTCCTAAAAAAAGACACTAAGTGTATGTACAGCACTTAATATCTGCATATGTGCGAGTGTGTATGAGACCGAGATAGAGAGGTAGATATGAACCGAACTAGATAGATAGATAGATAGATAGATAGATAGATAGATAGATAGATAGATAGATAGATAGATAAACCGCACTAGATAGATAGATAGATATGAACCGAACTAGATAGATAGATAGATAGATAGATAGATAGATAGATAGATAGATATGAACCGAACTAGATAGATAGATAGATAGATAGATAGATATGAACCGCACTAGATAGAGAGATAGATATGAACTGAACTAGATAGATAGATAGATAGATAGATAGATAGATAGATAGATAGATAGATATGAACCGCACTCGATAGATCGATATGAACCGTACTAGATAGATAGAGAGATAGATATGAACCGAACTAGGTAGTTAGCTAGTTATGAACCGAACTAGATTGATATACATACATACATACATACATACATACATACATACATGCATAGTTGTGGCCCGAGCTAGATAGATAGGTAGATAACTGAACTAGATATTGTTATATGCCGTACCTATGAACTCTAATGATTATATCCCAATCCTCATAAATACGTTGGACTCTACTGTAAATGGGGGTAATATGCTGTCTAAGTAGTTCACCACTAGCGGTGGTTTACCTATTTCACGCCACTGGCGAGTATTGTATTTTGTTGATGTTATGAACATAACTCTTTCATTTTCAACCTCCGTTTTGGATATTCCTCATTCAGTAACTCTTTCTAGGTTACAACAGATAGATAGACGAATGGATAAATATCTATCTACCAAAACTAGATAGATTTAAAACTAATGAACTAAATAGATAGATGGATAGATAGAAAAATAGATATGAACCGAATCATGGGGATTGATATTTATCTATGCCTTTTTATATCTATCCGTCTATCTACGCATTTTCCTATCTATCCACATAGATATGAAAATGCGTACTAAACCGATCTAAATAGATAGATAGATAGAAACCGAACCAGACAGATAGATAGATAGAGTGATAGACTTAGATAATGTATAGACAGATAATGTACAGATATAGATAAAGTATAGATTTAGATAAGGTACATAGATAGGTAGGTACAGACTGAGAAATAGCTAGACAGAAGCAGATACAAAATATAGTATACACATTAAAGAATCAATGGTAGAGATAAAGATAACGCAGATATTTTAACTAAAACGATATGCTTCGAAAAGGCGGGAAATTTAAAAAAAATCTGATTAATATGTGCATCGTCTCGCCAGCCATTATAATTTTTTTTTCCTCCAGGAAATAACCATATTTTCTATCAATTTTCATTTATTTGATGAAGCCATTTCGTGCCTTAGTAATATTTTCCTTTATTTACAGTACCTATGCAAACTACGCCAAACTGATTTTCTGTTTGCGTCAAATCTTTATCTTTCTCAAAGAAAAAAAACGAAATATAGCGAAAATGATGCTCACGTCTCTCAATATTTTTGTATAAGTGGGAGAGGGACCAAGTGGTGCCCAAAAAATATTTTATATTTGTCCGACAATACGAGTAGAAATGGTCTAGGAGACGAGTTTATTCGCTCCTAGATGATGAATACGTCAATAACAGCAAATTATGCGGGAATCATTGGTTTTTATGAGAAAACCCAAAGGGTAGAATTCAAGAGCTTTGAAAATCAGGATTCGAGACAATATCTTTTACCTAGTCTCGAACTTCGACTCTTGACACTGGACCCCGTACGATCACCAAAGTTAAGAAGCGTGAAGCCTGGTTAGTAACTAGAAGGGTGACCGCTTGGGAATACCTGGTGCTCTAAGCTTGGATGTTCGGGTTGTGTAATAGATAATGGCTCGGGGTTGTTAATTAGAGAGCAGAGTTCAAATTCGAATCGGGTTCGTTATATTTATTTACGCGTATTGGGAAAGGTATGGATCCACATCATTCCCCTATCTATGAGTTAATTAGTAAAAGTTGTATCACTAAAAGCATTATTATCGCCAAATTAAAAAAAAATCGCATACAAAATGTTTCCATGTTAGTATTAAATAACCCATTAAGATTGATATGCCGCTAAAAAAAAGAAAAAAAAGAAAAAAAACAAGAGCAACAAACAATTCATAAAGCAATGCTTACCACACTCGTTTCATTGTATACTGAAAATGACTTTTATCCACAGTGACTAACATTTTTTTTTTGTCAAACTGTCACAGGGTTCATTACAATATGAGAGCCTGCCGTAGGGCATTGATAAACAAGTCGGCATCGCTACTGGTTACGACTCAGTTCGATCTTCTCTGAGAGCTGCAAAGTCTTCTCACCGAAATTATACTAGCTCTACAGCGAGGCTATCCTAAGAGTCAGGGACCTTACCAGGATTTATTATCGGTGGGTGCAATCTTAACAATGTAAAATACGCATATGACACTTGTTTGACGGCAGACAAATGAGTAAAATTACAGGACCTCCTAAATTAAGTAATACAGGAAAGCGAGAAGAAAGGAATAACTATCAGTTGTCAGAAGATAAAACATATGATTCACAGCAAGAGAAAAAAACAAACGAGATGTTTAAATATCTGGGAAGTGTTTTAACAGAGGACGGAAAATGTGACCCCGAAATCCGAAGACACATTGGAATAGCAAAATATGCTTTGCAAAATCTAAGCAAAGTAATAAGAAACAGGAAAATTTCGTTAGAAACAAAAAAACAGTGGTGAACTACTGTGTAATATCTATTTTTGTACATTAAAATAGTGAAAAGTGCCTTCCAGAAACTAAGCAAAGTATTAAGTAACAGGAAAATTTCCTTAAAAACAAAGAAAACAGTAGTGGACTACTGTGTAATATCTATTTTTGTACATTAGAATAGTGAAAGATGCCTTCTAGAAACTAAGTAAAGTATTAAGTAGCAGGAAAATTTCGTTAGGAACAAAGCGTGCTGAACTGCTGTCGAATATCAATCCTCTTATATAGCAGTGACTGCTGGACAATTTCCTCACAGATAAAGAGAAGACTGGAAGCAACAGAAAAGTGATTCTATAGATGGATGATTTCAACTATCTAATTACAACCGTGTGTAGACATTTTTGTGGTTCTACAGAAGGATAATGAGAATACCATGAACCGCACATGTGAGCAATGACAAAATTTAGAGAAAATAGAAACAAAAAGGAAACTTATACTTAACATCAAGGAGAGACAGTTGAAATGTCTTGGACACATAATGAGGAAAGAGGGCTTGGAAAATTTGATACTCACAGGACAGATTGAAAAGAAGAGGGACAGAGAACAATGCATAACCTTCCTGGCGAACTTGAGCAAATGGATGGCGGAGCAATGTTTAGGAGAGATAGCAAAATTTATTAAGAGCTACGAAGTACAGGAAATTGTGGAGAGCCATGATTGCTTACGTCATGAAAGGACACAGCATGTAGAAGAAGAAGCATTCATATTGTCAGCGAGAGAGAAAAAAACTACACTGTTTATATTATTCGGACTATTGTCGTCATCTTTGTCGCCATATTTATTACAACCATTCCTCAAGGACACATGGCACAGTGGATAAAGGCGTGAGTTAGATCCAGTGACAGGATCCAAAGAGTGTGAGTTCAATACCCGGTTAAGGCAGTAGAGAACTTTCAGAGGTTAATTAACAGGAGATAACTGATAACTGAGATCCATTAAACATGGCACCTGGAACTAGAACAGTCTACCCCAGTGAGCGAAAATAAAGGGTTCAGTTCGACATTCCAACCACCTGAAGAAGGCCTGAGCGTACAGCGGCCGAAACGTTGTAATAAATATGGCAACACAGATGAGGACAATAGTCCGAATAATGTAAATAGTGTACATAATACCTCATCCCAGAAATACAGACAGATACTGAAAGGCCGAAACGTTGTAATAAATATGGCGGCAAAGATGAGGACAATAGCCGAATAATGTAAATAGTGTACATAATACCTCATCTCAGAAATATAGACAAAAGAAAAACTAGATACAAACTACGAATTGTAAATGTCAAAATCAAACAAGTTGGGTTACTGTGTTGTGACAGAAGATTTTCTCGTTAGAATCAATTTTGCACATTTGGAAATCTACCATTTGTCCGTGCATGGAATGTTGTTGCCATTTCTGGTTTGGTTCTCCTGCTGTACCTCTCGACATTCGTGACAAAATCCAAAGAAGGATCTTTAATGTAATCGATCCTGACCTGCCATCTTGACTTCAGTCACTTTCTCACCGACGCGACATGGCTTCCCTCTGTCTTTTCTACAAATATTTTCATAGTAATTGCTCTGACGAACTTTTTACCCTGGTGCCTGGCTACGTGAATTCAAGCGTGATACTAGATTGGCATCTAGTTCCCACCTTTTACTGTTGAAAGAGCTAAATGCAACCGCAACTTTTACTCCAGCAGTTTCTTTCCTTGCACTTCCCACCTGTGAAACTCCCTTCCGTTTACTTGCTTCCCTGATAACTACAATCTTCAAAAATGTATATGCAACATCAATCGCCATCATCTCTCTTCTTGAATTCCGTTCATCTTTTGTCCTTTCCTCACTATTCTCAGTCTTCTCTTTCAATTTCACTCCCTGTAACCCCCTGCGTACTAGTGGCATTCTCGCCTTGCTTAGGGAGAATTTATTTTTTTAAAAGTACAGAAATTTAAATATCTGGGAAGTGTTTTAACAGACGATGGAAAATGTGACAGGAAAATCCGAACGTGCATTAGGACAACAGAAGATGCCTTCCAAAAGCTAAGCAAAGTACTAAGAAGAAAAAAAAGGTGTGTTGAACTGCTGAGTAATATCAATCCTTTATTAGGGAATGCTGGAAAATTTCTACACAGATGAAAGGAAGAATGGAGACAACAAAAATATAGTTTTACAGAAGGATTCTGTCATTGCGTAAGTCTTTAGGACAATGGAAAACAAAAAGGACATTTACACTCAGAATCAGAAAGAGGCAGTTGAATTATCTTGGATACACGGCTTGGATAATTTGATGCTTGAAGGACATATCGAAGGCGAAAAGGACAGGGGAGGCAACGGACCACCTATCTGACCAGCTTGTGTGAAAGGATAGCTTCAAAGGGATGCAAAAAAACCAGCGTTACGAAGAGCTACAAGGGGTGGGAAGTCCCGGAGAGCAACGATCCTAAATGAGCACGGCAAATAGAAGAAGAAGACTCAGATTTGACACTTAATGAGGAAGGAGGGCTTGGAAAATCTGACCCTCACAGGACAGATTGAGGGAAAGAGGGACAGAGGAAAGCAGCGCGTAACATACTTAATGGGTTTGAGTAAATGGATGGCAGAACAGGGTTTTGGGAGAGAAAAAAAAAACAAAGAGTACTGAACTGTTACGTGATAAATGTCCTCCTGTATGGCAGCAAGTGCTGGACAATCTCCTCAAAGATGAAGAGACTTAAAGCAATAGAAATATGGTTCTACAGAAAGATGCTGATGATACCATGGGCTGAACATACCGTTATTCCCATGTAAAAAATTATCACGAAACAAAATTAGAATAATATTATTTTATGTTTAAAACCATGTTTTTTAAATACGAGTAGGAAACGCTGGCCCTAATGAAATTGAAGAACTACAATTTATATGGTTTGATTACCAAACAAAGAGGTGCGTATTATGCATGAGTAGAAGCATTTTCCCACACTTTCAGCACAATTTTAGGGATGCGTATTATGGCTGAAGGCGTATTATACATGGGAAATTATGTTAATTCACATCAGGAAGAGGCAGTTGAAATTTCTGGAGCACCTAAGGAGGAAGGGGGGGCTTGGAAAACATGATATTCACAGGACAGAGGGACAGATTAAATCATCGCATAACATACTTGATGGGCAAGGGTTGGTGAGAAATAACAAAAAGACAAAACTCATTAAGAGCTAAAAAGGAAGGGAAGATGTGGAGGGTCATGATCACCTACGTCCTGAAGGGACACGGCATATGAAAAAAAAAAGGTAAGCTACGTAATAGCTTTCATCTCCCAACGTGCGTTACTCACTAAGCCACTGCCTCACACTTTCTCCCCCCCCACTCACCAGTTCCTCTTTCTCGTAACAGACATTCACACCTGACTCCATATCGTGTTCGTTGCTTCGTGTGTTGGCGGTACATCTGTTACTACTCATCCCTCAAACTTGTTCAAGGACGCGATTCCTAAGTAGCATTATGTTCTGCTTAGGGGTTCCACCGAACAAGGTAAAGTGTCCTACCTTAACGTGGCGTATCCACTTTGTTTCTATCTATCTATCTATCTATCTATCTATCTATCTATCTATCTATCTATCTATCTATCAGGCTGTTGGTATCTACCTGTCTATCTATCAGGCTGTTGATATCTATCTATCTATTAGTCTGTTCATATTTATTTATCTATTAGTCTGTTCATATCTATCTATTCATATATGTATTTATTCATATCTATCGACCTATTCATATTTATCTATCTGTTCATATCTATCTATTTATATCTATCTGTTCATATTTATTTATCTATCTGTTCATATTTATCTATCTATCTATTTAATCATGTATGTTCATATCTATCTATTTATATCTATCTGTTCTTCCTTCCGACTTTTTCTTTTTCATGCCTTTTTCTTTCTACTTTTTCTTTTTCATTTCATCCTTACCTTTCTTTTTTTTGCTTTTTTCTTTCTACTTTTTCTTTCGTTTTTCTTTCTTCCATCTTTTTCTCCCTTCATTATTCTTTCTTTCTTCCTTTTTCCTTTCTTTATCTTTCCTCTCAACTTTTTCATTTCTTTTTTTTTCCTTTTTTCTTACATTTTCCCTCCTTTCTTGTCTTGCATTTTCATTTTTTTTCTTTTTATCATCTTTCTTTCTTTTCCTTTTTACTTTCCTTTTCACGTTATTTTTATCTCTTTCATTCACTTCTTCTCAGCTTCCTTTCTATCCCTATTTATGTGAGAATTTTGTGTTTGTTACTGTTAATCTTTTTCTATGTACGTTCTTCTTATTCTCTTTCTTTCTACGTGTTTTCTTACAATTCTTCTCTCTCCGATTTTTGTTGCTCTCGATAACACTTACATCCCTCTTCGACTTTGTGCAAATGGATGCGGGGGTGGGGGACAAATAACAAACTTGTCAAGTGGGTTACCTGCTGTTTTGTCTTGCATTCAATGAACCTGTAAATTCTCCAAGCCTTCTTTTCTTATCATGTATCTCAACTGTTTTAACTGCTTCTTTCTCGCTGTTAGCAACACTCTTTTCGTAATTACTCTACTCCTTAAAACTTAAAACAAAAACGTCAGTTTTGGGATTGCCACACCATGTCTGTCAGGGGACTTCATTAACTACGGCTAGGTGATGTTGCATAAAACGGTATAAAAGTAAGCGACTCAAAATCTCTTTCTCTTTTTTGCACTCGTCAACTACAGGATGTCATAGGGAGAAGACGTAATTCGTTTTCCCCCACCGAGAAGAGTACTTTCACCGTGTAAACCGACTTTTAATCTCTACCAAACCACATGGCGCAACACACTCTTAGACAAAACCCTACTACACTTAATCACAGACATACATACATTCTTATATATATATATATATATATATATTACGATAAACGTGCAATCAATTTACAAATTCATGAATTATTCACACAAAAACAAATGCAAAGGTTAATGATTTAATTGGCGAGAAATCCATCGTCGCAAACAATTCAAATAATATACAAAAACCTCCGAATCTGTTATGAATGAAATGATCCTTGTTTCTATAAATTTCTGCCGTATTAGTTCTTATTTTTACTACAAGCTTTCGTCTGTTCCTACAGACATCTTCAGGTAGGAACAGACGAAAGCTTGTAGATAATATTAGTGATTTATATACACACACACATATATGTCTAAAATATCTAAATATATATACATACATACATACATACACATATATATATATATAAATTTCCAAGAGGATAGAATCCAGGTAGAACTCAATGTCCAAGACAGAGTAAGAATATAATAAAAAGGCTTAAACACTAATATTCCATGGTTATAATTTATTACATTGGAATCGTAATGACAATCCAATTCATCAGACCTACAAATTCAAAAAGCTTTTTGAATTTCTAAGTCTGATGAATTGGATCATAATTACGATTCCAATGGAATAAATTATAACCATGGAATATTAGTGTTTAAGCCTTTTTATTTTATATATATATATATATATATATATATATATATATATATATATATATATATCCTTGATTTACCTCCTTCCCACTACATATACTGCACGATTGACTAAATAACTCTTAGAGAAACTCGGTTAGGAAAAACATTCTTCATCCTCCATCATCTCTCAACCTTTCTCCTTCTAATTATCATTTGTTTAGTGGTTCATCAAACCATTTGGAGGGGCTAAAGTTGGCACCAAGGGAAGCGGTTGAACATGAGCTGGTCTCGTATTTTACATCAAAACCTAAAACGTGGCATTTATAAACTCGTTGATAGAAGGAATGAGAAAGCAATGGAGGTTACATTGATGACGAAATATCACTATAAGTGTTAGTATCTTCATTTTCGCAAGCTTGTCTTGCTAGATCAATTACAACTGAATAGTGAGTTTGATCCCCATTGAGTGCCCCAAAGCATCTGAGCTACGCCTAGAAAATCATCACTGGGGCATTTCACCATGGTGTAATGGTTAACAAGCTTGTCCACGCTAGCTCAATTACGACTGAATAGTGAGTTACTTTACTTTTGACTTTATACCACATCTAAACTATGCTTGGAAAATCGCCATTAGTATCTATTAGTATCTTCATTTGAAACACAATAGAATCGGACAAATCTTTCGTTCTAATCATATATATATATATATATATATATATGTGTGTGTGTGTGTGTGTGTGTGTGTGTGTGTGTGTGTGTGTGTGTGTGTGTGTGTATATAAATGCGTGTTCATTTAGTTTATTTTGAAAATTTTCAACCACAGTCGCCTTGCATCAAAGATTAGGTCGTAACTGTATTTTTTTAAAAAATCATTTATATTTGAAATATATTTCTTAAACCTGATAGGCAGACTGAAACACCTACTAAATATTTTTCATCTTTTAAGCATACATGTGTCTTAATATTGATTTCAGCCGATTAACATTCTTATGTTAGACTCGTGGGAAGTAATTAAGATGCATGGAAGCTATTTTAAATTTTATTCATTATATTGATAAACACTGATTGCTTAAATAACTAGTTATCATGGATATGATTTATTAATACATTCATTCACATTAATGATCTATTTACTTACGTTCAAGAGATACTCAAGGTAAATTGATTAAATTTTTTACGGTTTATCAACCTTTTGCAGGTTATTTAAAACCAGAAAATATTTTTAGACTGTAAGAATTTTTTGGATATAATAATGACTGACTGATAGACGTCTTACTATTTAACCCATAGCTGCGTGGAGAAGCGTTGGAGTCATACCCTCCCCAAGGATATTGATTGTCTGATTCGTTTTCTATGGCTTTTCAAACCATCGCAAAATATTTAAAGGCAGAAAATATTTTTTTTTTGATAATAATGGTTTAGTAATACAAATCTTACTAATTAAGCCATAGCTGATGAAGAAGTGGATTCATGCCTTTCCCAAGAGTATTAGCGCGTAAGTGAATATAGCGAACCCAACGGGAATTGGAACTCCGCTCTCCAATTAACAATTCCGAGCCAGTATCCATTACATTATTTGCTCACCTAAGCTTACAGTACCTGTTATTCCTAAGTGGTCACCCATCTAAGTATTGACCAGGCTCGATGTTGTTTAACTTTTGTGATCGTACGAGAACGGGTGTTTCAACGTGATATGGCCTCAAACTCCAAAGGTATTTTCGCGTAATGAATACAACAAACCCGACTGGAATTGGAACTCGGCTCTCTGAACTCCAAAAGCAAGACTTTATCCATTACACTATCCGCACATCCAGCACCTTGTATTCCAAAGCGGTTACCACTCTAGGTACTGATCAAGCTCGACATTGCTTAACTTCGGTGATCGTACGAGAACCGTTGTTTCAACGTGGTATGGTCTTAATTGCGCATAATTGAATACAACGAACCTGATTTAAATTGGAACACGGCTCTCCGATTTTCAATTGCAAGACGTTATCCATATGCAAGCTTACAGGTCCTTATATTCCCAAGTATTTGATGTTGCTTAATTTCGATGATCGTAGGCGAACCGGTGTTCCAACGTGATATGGCCGTAAGCCCTCAAGGTAGTGACTTACTAAATGAGATGTATGATGGGAATGTCGGAGGAAGAAGTGAAAATAACGAGGTTATGCTGGGTAGATAACTAATGACGAATAAAGAGTTGAAGAGATTATGATTCTAGTGACATGACAAATTCTAAAAGCTTAGAAATCCATTTTAAATAAATTTAATATAGAAATGGCATTAAAAAGATCAAAGGCAGGACTTATTAAACAAATACGCCCAAACTTTCATTCACTCCAATTAAATATATATATATAAATTGCCGCCTAAATTACGCAAAAATTAAAATAACACGGACATCTCATTTTAACAGATATATTTATCAAAATTTCACAAAAATATCTTTAAAAATTAAAGTGTAAATTTATTCAATAAAATTGCCATTGGTTTCAACTACAGCCTCCAGACGACTTCGGAATCTTCTGCATCTCTTTTGATCGGTCTTCTTGATTCAGTTGGTGAATGTTGCCATAATCTTTACCTTCAGTTCATCTTTGGTGTTACAAGGAGTTTTGTTGGTCTCTCGCTCAACTGCGTCCGACATACAATAATCAAGTGGGTTGCAGTTTGGGGAGTTAGGTGGCCAGATGTGAGGAGTGATGTGGTCGCAGAAATTGTCTAACGGCCATGTCTGGGATCTCCTGCTTGAAGGCATGTTGCAAAGTCCTGTTGCCAGACATAAGATCTTCTACCAGCCACCATCTTGACCCAGACAGTACTACCCCCTTTAGGCACTTGATGTAGTCCTCCGTGTTGAGTTTTAGGCCCTTGTAGGAATATGGAGGCATAACGTCGCTATCACTATTGATCACTCCAAACACCGTGATGTTGACTGGATCCAACTATTTCCGAATCACTGTCCTCAGATTGACACCCAAACACTCTGAATAGGGGCTTCCGGCGTAAATGCCAAGAATTACAGCATGCCACTTCCAAATTTCTGACGCTATTTTTCTCACAGACGGTGCCTAACTGAGCCTACCATACTGTGCAGTCGACAAAATCAAAAACAAACAACGCGCATGCGCGAAATTAAAAATATGAAATGGTTACAATTTACCCATGGCACCCTGTTGTCACGCAGAAAATATGAAAAGCACATCTAGAAATACACTGTAAATCAGGTACCTCCACGAAATCGCTAAAAATAATCATACCGTGAAGAATAAATGCTCCACATGTAATGAAAACAGTTTTATCGTCAATATCTTTATGTTATTATTAACAGAAAGGATCAAAATATTTTTTTCAATATTTAATAAAAATTTTTATTCCTTTTTAAAGCATTCAAAATTTTGGCTAAAAACTTGTTTTTCTTGCATCAGCGGTTGTACTAACTTTTAGTAAAGAAAATTTTAGCCTTTTTTGTAATGATAGCCACATTAATTTGGAAATTCTTCCAAAAATCAAATAATTGTCGGATTTTAATGAAATTTTCAGGACTTCTTCACAAATAAATGAAATTATTTTTTAATTTTTTTATTAGAAAATTTTGATAAAAACATTTTTTACATGTGTTTCACTCCCTTAATTAATTTTATGAAAACTTAAGAAATTCAACGAGATAATTTTTAATTACTATATTAGTTAAGAGTAGAATTCTTTTAAGAATTTAAATCACTAACTTTTTTTTCTTTTGCAAAATCGGACGCGAAAATCTGTTCTGAATCGAAAAATAAATACTGTAATAAAACTAAGACATTATTTAATTAGAGATGCTTTTAATTGCTTTTATGAATAACATATATTTAAAAAGACTATTGTCTAAAGAAGAAAAAAATTCGATGAAAAATGAACTTTTACAAGATGTTTTCATTTTTACAATTTTAAATTGAATAATTACATATATATTGGCACAACAAATGCTAAAAGCTTAAACAGAAACATTGGATATGATTTTATTATAAAAATAGAATTGGAAATTATTTTACCAAAGGAAATGATAACATTATCAAGAGTCAGAATGGAATCGTTTCTCATTGCCTTCTCCGAAGGTGTGTTGGGATAGCAAAAGATGCCTTCCAAAAGCTAACCAAAGTATTAAGAAACAGGAAAATTTTATCAGAAATAAAGAAAAGTGTATGTAACATCAGTCCTCTTACATGGCAGTGAATTTTAAACAATCTCCTCACGGATGAAGAAGAGATTTTAAGCAACAGAAGTTTAGTTCTACAGAAGGATGCTGAGAATACCATGGACTAAACATATGACCAACGTTGAAGTTCTGAGAAAAACGGAAATAAAAAGAAAACTTATACTTAATACCAGAAAGAGACATAGGGAATAAAATAAGGAAAGACAGCTTGGAAAATTTGACACTCATAGGACATGTTGAAAGAAGAGGAAGAGGGGAAAACATTGTATGACCGACCCAACAAGCTTTTGTAAATGGTTGACAGAACAGGGTTTAGGAGAGATAGCAAAAACACAAAATTTACTAAGCGCTAGAAAAGGACAAGAAATTGTGGAGAGCCATGATCGCTAACGTCTTGCAGGGACATGACACATAGAAGAAGACAGGAAATGCGTGTGGTATTGATGGATATATTGCAAACATATAAGCCGATATTTTCAGTTATTGCAATGATATAGTGATAGCAAATCCTATGAAACCGTACTGAAAAATTCTCAACTTGATTTACTTCCCCAAATCTGTTTTTCGAAGGGTTTTCTTGGTCTGACCGAAAACCTTTCATCACTTGAGATAGATATTTATTGGAAATGATTTTGCCATAGATAAGATTTTATATATAAATATAGTGAAAATGATTTTAGTGCAGTAAGATTTTGAAGGTAGAATTTATTGGAGAAATACACCAACATATCATTCACTTATAATTACATTATGATGGCAAAGAAAATAAATGATATAAGAACAAAAGTTTTAGCACCGACTGCATTTGAACCCAGCATAGGTAAGTAGTGGATATACGCTTTAATGTAACGTTGAATATTTCTGCCACATTTGGTCTGATGCTTCTACGATGTGTAGAGATTCTTGACAAAATACAAAAAAGAATCTTCAATATTATTGGTCCTGACGTGGCATCTCGGTTTCAATCATTTTCCCACGGTTGTAATGTAGCTTCCCTGTGTCTTTTCTATAAATATTTTCATGGTAATTGTTCTAATGAATTTTCCAATTTGGTATCTAGACTTTATGGATTTAAACGCAATACTAGATTGGCAGCAAGGTCTCATCCTTTTACAGTTGAAATGACACGATGTAACCATAAGAAGAACAACATCTCAGTTATCCTAAGTCTCCTCTTCATCCATGAGGTAATTGTGGAGAGCCATTCTAGCCCACGTCTTCCTGCTCTTCTAGCTCCCCAGTCAACTTCGATTTTCAAAAATTTAAATGCGACTACAACGAGCATTACGAAAGTGACATCCATTATCCATTGGCATCACAAAAATGGCATCGAGGGTTCGTTGACATCACAAAAAGATTCTTGATAACATCAAATGAAGAATCCGTAATATTATTGGTCTTGACCTGGCACCTCAGCTTCAGCCTCTTTCCGAATTGCCATAACGTAGTTTTCCTGTTCCTTTTTTTTATAAATACTTTCGTCGTAATTGTTCTGGTGAACTTTCTTCTTTGCTACGGAGACTTTATGAATTTAAACGCAATACTAGATTGGCGGTGAGGTCTCATCATTTTACTGTTGAAATGGCTAAATATAACCGTAAGTTTTATGCTAACAGTTTCTTCTCTCGCACTTCTCACTTGTGGATCTTTCTTGCAGTTTCTTGCTTTCCAGTCATTTTTGATCAAATGTAAATGCGATGTCAATCGTTATCTTCTTTTTTTCTGACAAAAGAAATCGTCTTAAAGTTAAGAATGTAGTAAATCTTCTAGCCATAAATTTGATAGATCTTCCATTGAAGCTTTGGAACTGCAATGATTTATTTCGAATATGGCTGAGAAGCCATAACACAGCTGATTACACAGCTGTAAACAAAAACATGAAACTTTTGATTGGAAATCTGATGAATTTTCAATCTGAAAAGCATCTTAATAAATAAATACTTTCTATTAAATTATCGAAAAGGTTTAATTATTTTTCATAATATAAAGTGATTTATTTTCATTCTCAGATTGAAAAGAAAATAAGCAGAATAGGTTCCTAAAGAAACTCTCTTTCGGCTTTTTGCTTTCCAGTCAACTTTCGTCTTAAGAAATCGAGATACAATATTAATCCTTATCTTTTGTCTTCTTATTTCCTGTTCTTTCAGTGTTCTCTCTCCTTTATAATTTTTTTTTGTTTTTGTTTTTGTTTTTTTTTTTCATATTCTCTTACACTCACCAATTCCTTGCGTCGTAGTGGCTTTATTGTCTTACTTGGGGTGAAATGATTAAGAAAAAACAGTTATCGACGCCGAAAGTAGTATCAACGAGTAATGTAAAAATTCTGGGTTGATTACGCACTAATAGCCTTGGGAAAAGCATGAACAGTTTTTCTCCCTCAGCTGTGTTAATTAATAAGTTAGACTGATCTCTTGATCCAGAAAGCCAGTTTGAGAATTCTGAATTCAAAACCAGCTTGAAGTGAAATAGACTTTCTTACCCTAGACAAACCGACTGCTGCCACAGCTGCATTACATGCGACCGTTTTTCATGTTTACATAATATGGAAAAAGCAACGAGTAACCACTGCACTTTATTTTCCGAGACGTCCTGGCAATTTACAGATAATAAAGAAAAAGAATCTTAGAAGAGAGAAACGAGAAACCATTCCTTTATCTTCCCAAAAATGCAGGCTAATTCACAGATAACTATGTCATGGTCGCCAACAGCCTGAAGA